TAGTCAGATGAGTCATGAGAGTCGTCTAACTATCGACACGCTTTCACCGCATCTCTTACAGAACATTAAAAATTTAGTTGTTATATACTACATGTTCTGTACACCATATGATGTATTTTCGGTTCCTTAAAAAAGCAGTCAACTCATTTCCCTTTCATGGAAGTGAAAAGACGAGGTGATGGATTGAATTAAAAGCTTTGTTACAGTTACTCTAATGTTCCCTTACGTTAATGAAGTACTATATATGTTGACATCTGAACAAACTTATTGAATTAAGGTGGATAAATCGAAGAAGTAGTTCAACCTCCTTCCGCACGTGCACTAGACGGAAGACAAACTAGAAAATAGTCTCCCTTCGTGCTCATCAGTAGGGTAATGAAAAAAAAAGAATGAAACTGGTTATATATGATGAGTTATACTTTTAAAGAATGCATAAGGAATATAAAGTAGGTTGCAACAGGAAACTAGACTGCATTTTGTGTACTTCTAGTGTATTTTTAGTTATTGTGGAATTAACTTAATCTGACTAGAATTCAAGTAGTTGTATAACTAATATTATCATAGTATGTGTCTAATTGGAGGAGGTGGCGCACTATATCATACGCACGGTCAGGGGTTCGAATCCCGGATCGATGCCCGCCTAGGCCAACCAAACATTCCATCCCTCCGGCGTCGGTGAATTGACTCGTCTAGGAGGATAAAAGCACTGATTTGTACATCGGCTGGCCACCGCAAGTCATTGTATAGGCCACATGCGCACTCATTACGCCACTACGATTCTGAATGGAAGTCGAGTGCGGGGGCGCATCCCTCCGACGGGATTGATTAACGCCAAAAACTTTAAAGTTTATGTGTCTAATATTCTGATAAGTGGTTTATATCTTAAGCCGTATTTAAAGAGTATAAACTTATTTTTGGCGAAGCATTTTATAAGATCTGTAATACATAAAATTATCCTTACTGTAACCCATTTGACATGTTTGATATCCCATATGCTTTAATCTATCCAGAAAATCATTTTTACATGTACAAGTTCTAGCCATCCTCAAAATTTCTGAGTATATGGTTCTGAGCTTAATACCTCTAAAGACATTAGTATTGTAATGTGGGAAACGTTCTACGTGAAAGCCAAAACCATCTGTCTTATTATACATTTTCGTAAATATTTTACCTTCTTTCATGAGTATTTGTAAATCCAAATAGTTGCATCTGTATTCATCGTCATGCGTTATTTCTAATGCAAGAGTGTTTTATAGACTTGTTTAAGTTTTATTTTTTAAGTTTTTATAATTTTATCATATCACTTTCTCAGTGATATTTAAGGAATTGATGCCATTACATTGTTAGAAATTACCAAAAAATTCATGTTTCCATACAATTTCACTACCATTGAATACATTGAATCTGTTATATTGCTTGATATTTCGATTCTATAAACTGCTCGTTTTGTTTTTGCTTTCTTTTCTTTAGAAGCTTTAGCTTAGAGGCACTGTTCACGAAAAAATGGTTTCGGAGATTTGCACATTGTCTGAATTCGCCGCCCTCTCCGGTACCGTTTGTGCAGGAATGAGGTCGGAAATGGTCTGGATAGGGCACAATAATGGGCCGGAGAGTGAGCCACGGTCGCCCTCCGCCCCTCGCTAGGCTGACTACGAAATCTAATTGCCGTTCACCACTTTCGCACTGGAGCGAAGTTGGTGAAAAATCGATAAGGTGGTTGGCAAATTGCCAGAGTCTGCCAGTCAGATTGTCAGGCAAATTGGGAGTGTTGTCTGCGATTGCAGACATTGCGTCGCCTTCGTGCACTCGCCCGAACACTCCCTTACTCCGTTCTTCCAATGTGAAACTCGTCCAACCCCCCTTTCCAGCTCTTTTTTGACTCTTTCTTTTTTTTGTTCATCGTTTTTTGCGCTTTTTTCGTTGTTATCGCTTTATTCTAGAGTAGTTCTATGAATTCCCGTCAAAAAAGGGTACCCTAAATTTATCGTAAACGGTGCCTTTAATATATTACCTCATGATCTCTTTACAGAAGAGCAACTCTGTATATTTTAGAAAAAACTGACCAATGGACGTCTGTCCTGACGAGCTTCTTACAATTAAATTTTACAATTCAAAGATTCACTTATACAGTAGGTCAGATAAGGGCAAGGTTGGAACAAGTGACTGGTACCCCATGCGTACCCCATTCGCCTCACCGTCCACTCCTGAGAACAATCCCATTACCTTTTCGTGGAACACAAATAGGAGGCATTTATCCGCCCGTGAATGTTTCTTTTAAGTGGTACCCTGGTAAATAAGAAGTAGATCGTCTTTGAAATGAATCAGAACCTTTTTAATGGTTTATAACGGGGTCGGATATATATACGTGAAGACGGTTTCCTTGGAGAGGTAGATCATGTGCTGATCAATATTGGAGTGCTCCTTTTTCATTCTTTCCTGTTGATTTGAACCAGAAAACAGTCGATGTTTATTTGAGGATAGTCATGTTGTTCCTCATCTGGCAAAACTTGGGTTCAAATTTACTCATGCGGCGACGAATGAAATGACGATGACTTGCTGGTTGGGTGATGGGCCATCGCGTATGCCAACGTAAGTGGTTGTTTAATACTACTTAACAATTTCTAAAATATTATAGTTACATTTATAAGTGAGGAATCTTAGACATCTTAACCTGTATGTCGACAAATGCTTGCATTACATCATGACTTCACACCTGCCACGTAAAATGTGCAGTGATTGTTATGACTGGTTGCCAAATTGTCAACCAATAGTGAGCGTTTTCCTCACGCGCGGCGTGACCTCACTCATGCAATAGGTTCCTGCCACGAAATCGAGGAACCTAATGACAAATTCTTTGTATCACCAATATTTAAAGCCATCGGTCATCGTTACTCTTTTGTAGGACATCGTTCAGCTACTATTCTGTTTCTGGATTGGTCCTCGACGAAACAGGTCGCGTCCTTATGGTTCGCGAGCAGCCCCAGCATCGCCGGTATGACGTTAATTTTACCTACTCCTGATTCCATAAACCTAGGGTCGGTAAGAGCTTACGACATTGGCTGCATTCCCAGATCCATCGCATGTGCGGCATGGTGAACGCAAACTCTGAATGCAGCCAAATAGTATTGTAGCGCATTTATTTGCTATGGGGCACCAGCAAGTCGGATACTTCTGTTCATGATTTCTTGCAAACTACTTGCTTTCATTTGTTCTAATTATGCAAGTGAAATTTATGGAATAACTTAAAATCCAAGGCTGTTCGCTTCCGTAAGGGAAATTGTTTCAGCGTATCCTTTTGGAAATTCCCCGGTGGTGTGCCTGAACCAAAAGAGGATTTGCTTAGGACGGCTGAAAGAAAGGTTCTTGAAGAAACTGGAATTGTCGCTAAGGGCGAAGCCGTCATCGGTCTGAGGTCTGTTCTCGTTAGTTCCCTTTTTGAACTCACACTTGATCCCTTGAGCATATTGTCTAATGCTTGCTTGATCAGTGGAAAGAAGGGGAGGAGGGTGGGTCCCACCGTATTGTACTATCTGGGAACGAGGGTAACCACAAGATCCATTTGTGCTTTCTTTTTTTAGTTTTTTTGAGGCTCACCTCCCCTTGAAGGGATATGCATCATGAGCTTGCAAATTACAACTTTAAAAGAAGGAGCAGCACCCGAGCATATCCCCACACCTGAAATATAATACCTACCTTCATTGGGGTTTCATAGTTTCAGGTAAATATCTAAAGATTTCGAATAATTTTGACTGATCTTTCAGACAGAGACTTCGCACGGAGTACAAGGACTCGAGTGGCTTCTTTTTCGTGTGTCTGATGAAAAGCGTCGGAGATGCTCAAATTGGCCTTGCTGAATCTGACTTTAATGAGATAGCTGAAGTGAGATGGTTCACAAGGTCCTGCGGAGTCATTAATTTTTCGTATTTCTTAAAATAATTGTTCACTTCGTTCATCCATTCGAGGAATAAGTATCTCAAGGCTGGCTTGAAGATGTGATAAATTTGCTCAAATTTTTCCAGGGAGGAGATTAACTCGATGCCAAGGCAAGAGTTTTTAAGTCACCATCACACCATTTGGCAGACCTACCTGAAAACTCTTGAGGACGTCGGGGGAAAGGAATTGTATGAAGCCACCAAAAAAGACGTCACTTCGAAGGTGTTCAACTTCAGCTCCTTTTAAGAAGCCTGTTCCAGCAGTCTTTCCGAGAATATGATCAAGCAATGCTACAATTTTTAGCAACGAGTCATCTTTCTCTAAAGTCTGCCTAAAAGTACTGGTAATAATTATTAAATCAAGATTGTTTGCCAACTAAAGTCATTCATTTGATTATTTAAGACTCTTGTGCCGTGCGAGGTTGTTAGGTGGAACGATTTATTAACTCAGTGGCCTAACGTCTTCTTCTGAGGCCTAAAGCAATTCGAGATGATTTGCGCGGTATCCAAAAAGCGTATTTCCAATATGGCGAATGAGACAACAAATTCAAACCCACAATTCGAATCTTAACTCACCAGGGTTCCACCGCTCAAGCGGATGTAAATCCACTGTCGCCACAGACAGGCGACTGTCAGTAGCGAATGAGACTTCTTGTGTGTCTCCCTTATACTTGTGATAAGGAAGATCACGTCGTAATGCTACTGAGTCATAAGCCGCAGTGCGGTATATACGGCAAAAGATCGTTGGTTATAGATGGGCACTCATCTCTACTGTTCATTTTAGGATTTCTTTGGAAGATCCAGAACGCCTCTAATGCTTTTCTCGCTGAAATCTCCGTCTCCTGCGCTAATATCGTGCACTTTACTTCAAAGTTGTTGCCGTTGTGCTCCTCCATTTTATGCCTACCAAGCGCCGTCATCAGGCTGCCACGCCTCATACTAGCTAGGTGCTCTTTTATCCGTATAGCTAGTTGTCTTCCCG